GGTGGCACTCAGCTGTAGTGAAGAACTTAGATTTTGCAGAAGGGAGGTATCAATAAAACAAAAATGAAAACAAAGGAGCAAATACCTCCTGTATCTGATTGCCATCCAGGGCCAATACTTCCAGATTTTTCATAGTGCATATTCCTTTACGAATCTCATCAAAGCAATTCTCACTCAGATCTAGTATCCTGACACTAGTTAATCTGGTGAAGGACCCAGGTACCGTGCGCAGTCCTGTGTTCCACAGATAAACATGGGAAAGGGATGGCCAGCAGCAGGTCTGATGTGGGAACTTGTCCAGGCTGCTAGCATACAATCCGACTACTCTCATTTCAGTGAGATTCTTCAAACCTGGGGGAAGCTTGTGCAGGAGATTATGAGACAGATCCAGCACAGCCAGCTTCTGGCAGTGTTGCAGTGTAGGAGGAATGGAGGATAAGTTATTAAAAGCTAAAAATAGCTTAACTAAGTTTGTCAAAAAGCTTACCTCTTCTGGGATGAGACTGATTAGATTTTGTTCCAGATCTATTATGTCTAAATCAGTGATATGGCAAAGCTCCTTGGGAAAACTTTCAAATCTGTTTTTCTGGAGGTAAATTTCCTTGAGTTTTGTAAGGTTCATTATTTCTTTAGACAAACACTTGAGATTATTGTCTGAGAGGCCAAGCAGTTCAACACGGTGGAGGTATTCACAGGTCAGCACTGGGATTCTGTGCAAGTTTGGTTTATAGAGCCTGAGCTGACAAAAGGACTGCAACTTGGTGATAACTGGCAGCGAACTACAAGAGAGGGGATTGTCACCTAAATCCAACCTCAGAAGGCATTTCAGCTCCCCCAGTTCTTCGCATATGTCTTTTGTGTGATCCTGACCCAAGCAGAGTACCTTCAGGTGCCTCGGGCGATTGATGTCTCTGGGGATGCTTTACAATCAGGTTCTTTTCCACGTGCAGCTCTTCCAGATATTCTAGACCCAAGACCCCTGGTGAGATGGTTGCTTTTTGGCTATAGCAGTGAAAAATATCCTGTCTGTGATGCCTGTGGGAGAAAGAGGTTCATTCTCTGGCACTTCATTCCCTGGTATTTCTTGTGCAGTCTGATGGTGGTCATCCTCAAAATCAACAGAGTCAGCTTTGGGGCAGTGACTGCCCCCTCTTCTGGCCTCCTGGCTCTGCTGAGGCTCAGCCATCTCTGCTCCTTGTTTTTAATTTCAGAAGAGAAAAACATTAGAAATCAATGGTATGCAAAAACCTTCCTACACTAAATAAATACTGGCAAAATTCAGCATTTAGTTTCGGTTTGAACCTCTGCAAAAAGCTGCTTGTGTTCATTGAGATCAAATCCTGCAGTACATACAGCAGGACCATATCTTTGAATTCCAGTGCACCCTGAAGTGCCCCAACAGCCAAATTCGGAGTGTGACCTTGTGAAGTCGGGGAAGATGGACCAAGCAACCTCCTCGAGTCTTGGAGGTCTGTATTTACAAACACTGACTGTGATCTGTCTTCAGCTATGCTCATTGTAAAACTGGAAGAATCCTATTGTAAAAAGGTCGCACCTTCTTCTGTGATGCTTAGGGGTTCCCAAGCCAGAGAGATGCCAGTGAATCCGGTATTTGATAGCACTCAAAGCTGTACTGTTGCTGATAGCAGAAGAGCAAGAGGTGGGAAGGGGTGACTACCTGAGCAACCTCTGATGCCTGGACAGAAGAAACCTTTCAGCTGGCATTTAAGGAACGCTAGGAGAAAACGTGGAGGTTGAGAGGCAGCTGTCAGTCGCCTCCCACCCAACGCCCTTTTCTCTGCTGCCGTAACCGTGTTGGGAGGACGTCACGTTTCCAGAGATGGGTGGTTTCCAGGTGCCACCAGGATGAGGAAGAAGAACCAAGCAACCGCCACGGGGAGAGACCCATGCTGGGCTTCCCCATCTAATTCAGATGTTGCACGAGGGTATTTTCTTTTTTATTGGCTCTGAGTTCAGTACTTGGGTGTGAGCCCCACGCACTGTGTGACAGGAGAGGGTGCGATCCCAACCCACCCCTTTCTGCATACAGGGACAGGAGTGAAGTCCCTAGAAGGATTTATTCGGTGGAAAGGACTGGCACAGGCACCTTTGAAGTAACTGCTAATCTGTGTAACCACAGAAATTTTTGCAAAATCTCCTGGGAGACCACAGGCAGACAAGTAAGTAAATATTCCTGGGGTAAGCTGCTGAAACTCCCCTCCCCATAGAGGCTGGGCATGGCTATCTTCACCCGCTCCCTCTTGGTGGAGGGCCCAGATGCCCTCCCTGAAAACGGGCTCCGTTTCCAAACACTGTGAACCTTGGAGCAGCCTGGCTGGGCCACGGGGCAGAACTCTCCCATCAGCTGGTCAGCATGGGTTGGCGAGGGCGCAGGCGTTGATGGCTCAGGTAGGCCTGCGGAGGGTGGGGGCCCAGCTGCTTTACAGGGAAAGAAAGACCTGCCTGTATGAATATTATTTCTCTGTTAGCTCAGATCCTATGCTACGGTGGATCAAAAACACATCCACAAATCCACATTTTTTCCTCATGCTTTTCCTGCCAGACTGTGTCTGTCTGTTATTCTTGCCTTGCATACCAAGAGTTGTAACCCTTTTCAGACCGAGCCCATTTTTATTGTTATGCAGAGCCCAGCTCAACAGCACTGGGGTCCATGGTGATGTTGCTAGGCTGCCACAACTCTGCAGTAACGCTTTGTTTTGTTTTCCAGCAGGTCATGTCAGTTCATCCAGATCTTCACCAGCACTATGTGCGGGCCTGCCAAAACTTGGGCCAACCTGAAAACCCCTTCATTGCTCATGCGCTTCAAGAAGCTGATAAAAATGATAAAATGTAAGGAAATAACAAACAGTGTGTTCCAGATGCTTCTGAACGCTTTAAACAAGACAGCAGGACAAGGAATCGAACAATGAGAAAGTTCATGCAGTTTCAGGCTTAAACGCAAATCATATTTACCATGTACTGCTGAAGTTCTGGTTTGACTCATCTTGACATCATCTTGGCAGAAACTTGTAGCTATATATCCCTTCTGGGCAGCTTTACAAGCAGTGAAATAAAAAAAAAAAAAGTGAAAAATGCACAGGATGGTGCCTTTGTGTCCCTTAAAGAAGCCAAACCCGGTGTCTAGTCATCCTAACTCCTTTCCTTTTGTCTCGCTCCTGTTTAAAGAGCCTCAGCTGCATTCAGTTAGCTTCCAGCTAGTAAAGCTTCCCTGAACTACCTCTGAATCCTGCCAAGGTATTAACCACCCAAATTCTCTCTTGTTATGTGGTTAGGTAGGGCTTCCTCTCATGGGTGCTTCTGGGGCCAAAGTTAATTGCCCTTTAGAGGGAAAACCTGAGAAGATACAGTGTAGTAAAATGGTTTGTGTTAGGTTTTAATCCTGAGGGGGGATAGAGTAAATAAAGGAAAGAGAACAAGTAAAAAGGAGATGGTGATGTAACCTCCAGGATAATCTTTATTTCCATCTGCCTTCCCCTCATCTTGCTTCTTCCTGCTTTCTGAGCCTGTGTGCTAAGTGTGGTCTTGCCACTGTGCAGTGTCTTCAGAATATTGAAAAGGACAGTGCTGAGGTACAGCTTGAATCACGTTGTGTCGTGGTGTTACCAAAGGTAGCGGCAGCCGCTAGCTGCATGCAAACACATCAACCAGGTCAAGCATGGGTACGCTTCTTATCTGGAGAGAGAATTAATTTTTCTCTTTCATTTTACCTCTCCCCATGTGCTTACGTTTTTATGTTACAGCAGATGGACAGAAGGGATCACATTAAAAATAGCTGGAAATAATCGTCTAGTGCCTGTGCAGAGAGTTACAGATGACGATCTTCAAGTTCTTGCCTCTGTCTTATGCAATACTGTATTTGTCACAGGTAAGCTTTTTTCGTGTGTTTGACATTGCTGTACTAATATAAGAAAACATAAGCAGTCTTGATTTCAGCCTTAGTTCGTCTTTATTTCTTTCTGTTTAGAGACCAGTTAATTGTAGATACGCATCTGTCACATGCTTCATTCTTCATCTTTTTCAGGTTTGGATCTTAGGTGTAATACATTGACTGATGCTGGAGCAAAGCACGTGGCAACATTACTCCAGGTGCCAAAATGATGTTTATCATTCAGCAACTTGTAATTTATTTGGCTATGATAATATTTATCTGTGGTAAATTGGGGACAAGAATGCATTGGTTTGTCAAAATTCCATTAATTTGGTTTTTACATCCAGATCCATCCTACCAGAATCTCAGATTGTGTTCTCTGGGGAGATTTTGAATGTCTGGTAGAAAACCATTGCATGGTCATGAAGAAAGAACGGTGGAACAAACTGTGGGGCTTTTAGGCTTACAGTTCAGTTCAGCAAAGGAGGTAATGGCAGTGTCAAGTGTGCCAGGGCCTTTGCTTTAGATACTTTATCATCTCTCTCAGTCTTTTGGGAGGTCTAAACATAGGAAACTTTAATGCTGCCTTTCTGTCGTTGTAAGCACCAGAATACAGATGGGGGTTGGACTAGATGACCTCCAGGGGTCCCTTCCAACCCAAAACATTCTATGATTCTAAGATGGTGAGTTGCCACTCAGTGCCTGGGTTCCTGGAGCTCAGGGAGGGCCATTAAGTTCACAAAATGCCTGAAGGTCTGCGTCTGAGCTTGGCCACCTGCCTCATTCGGTCATGCTGAGCACGCAGCTTGCTAGGTGGTTTCTGTAAGCCCCATGAGGGCCTACACACTACATGTTTTTCTGCCCTTCCATCATCATCTGACATTCTTTGGTAGTCTTTAATTACTTCTTCAAATCAGGGGCTGCCTGAAATATAGCAAAGAATGGAGGTTTTAAGTACGTATATGACACATTTCCTTTTTGAAAAATGCAGACGTGCTCTGGAAAAAAGTCTCATTGCTTTCTGCTTTGTTTGTTCCTAAGGAAAACTCCACTCTGCGGTACCTTAACCTGATGCTTAATGATATTGGCACAAGTGGAGCAGAGCTGATAGCAGGAGCACTCCGCGTGAGTATTTCTCTGGGAGATTTGGACAATGGCATGTAGTTTGATATTTTTGCTTTTGATGAACAGTACTGGCTGTCCTGCCAACATCAGAGCCGGCTGAAAGGGCCCTCTGTCTTCAATCCATTCAGCATTTTGCTGTATCACAGAGATTGCTTGTTTTCCCAAGGCAGACTTCAGAAATCAGATTTCACACAAGAGAAAGTTGCACTGTGCTGCCATTAACACTTAATTATCACAACTATCACAGCTGGGGTTTTCTGTGTGAAAAATGCTATGTTATGTTATAGGATGTATAATGCCATCAGTTTTTTCCCTTTTTTTTAATTGTATGAAATTTGCCTGTACCTTGATGTCAATATTTGTCTTGATTCAAGATGTCTGAAGACATGTTTTCAAAACTTTGCCTTACACCAGCAGCAGAAAAACATGTTTGTTATTTTTTATGTGGTTTCCCAAGGAAACCAGGCTTGTGTGTAAGATTTGTTATGTTTGTGAAATGAGACTCACGTGAGCTCTTTCTTCCTCCTTCACAGTCTTTGAGCTCTGAACCCATTCCAAATACATTTGACAGGCCTCCAAAACTCTAAGGCTGTACAGTAGATTGTACAACACTGGGCTTCGAGTGTTCGCTGGGTCTGCTGAGCAGGCAGGCAGCAGGACCCCACCAGCCAGGCAGCCCCTTGGCTGTGGGGTGCAAAGGGGTCTGGGGGTGAAGGGGGGCTGTGATTGAGGGAGGGAGAAGGAAGAAGATGCTGTAGCAAGATATCACACTGGGGGAAGGAATACTGGGAACATGTGGAAGACATAAACACCATATGAAACCAGGCTTCATTAGTTCTGCTGCTCACAGAACTCCTTGTTTTGTAATCACTTAATCAATCGTAATCTCTGGTAATGAGCGATTACTGAGTAGTACTGAGGAATTAAAAATACAAAAGCACTCTGCGTTGCATTTAGGGCTTTAACAGTGAATAGATATTTCATATCCATTGAAATTCTGTGGAGGGTGAGGGGAAAAATGCTGGCTTTTCTAGACCTCTGGTCAGAACTTTATATTGCCAGTGAAGTCTCCAGTCCAGCAGAGACTGGTTTGACTGTGCACCAAGTAATCCTACCAAAGGCGACCGGCTTCACTGAGCTTTGACTGGTCATGTGATTTAAAAGACTATGAAAAATAATAACAATTATATTCTTGTTTAGAATATGCTTACTAGATTTAAATCAGTTTTGATATAATTTGCATGTCAGCTACCAATTTAGGCAGAAATATCTGCCTGGATTATTTTCATGAGCGTGAAATTTGTGAACTTGGGAGAAACACAAATTTTTCAAATAGTCGAGTTTTGCTTCCAGACTCTCATATGTTTGATTCCACTGTGGGGAGCCTGAGCCAACTGCTTAGTCAGTGTTATCACTTAGACATGCTTCTTCTGGAGGGATGTTTTGTCTTTGTGTGACAACCGGCTGGATTCACAGAAAAAGGACAGTGTTGTTTCTCAGGCCATTTAAAATTAATTGATTTTTTTTTTTCCTTGATTTTGTCTAGAGGAATGAAACTCTTGTGTATTTGAGAATGACTGGAAACAAAATAGGAAACAAAGGTGGGATGTTCTTTGCTTCCATGCTACAAATTAATTCAACCTTAGAGAACCTGGATCTTGGAGACTGTGATATGGTGAGTAGCCCAATAAAATTATCAGCAATGATATGAGTCTTTCAAGAGCATCACAAAGGTCCTGCAGTGCTTAGTTAGGGGAAAATGCCATCTGTTGTCATTGATTTTACATTTTGTGCTAGCTGGAGGTAACACAATATACAATACTGCAATGCATACTTGGAAAGGCATGTTGCGTAAAACACGTGAAGTCATCACTGATGATATATTAGAACCACTACTCCCTGGGAATTCAGGTGCTTGGCTTTCACATTTTCCAAGGTTTGTTTCTGCTGTTCATTTTTGGTTTTCTAAGTCCTGTGCAATTCATGTTGAAGAAAGGATTTTATTTTTTTTTTTTTATTCCCTGGAGGTTCTTTTCCTTCTAAAGTGTGCAGTGCTATAATGCCTGAAAGTCACCCAGTCCCATAGCTGTGTTGCTCCTATCAGAGCCTGATCCATAAAGGACATAGGCACAAGAGTGCTGAATTGAGTAGAAAGGCACCCAATTTGATCTTGGATAACTCGCCACCTCCTACAGTTGGGCGCTGAGGCTTCTTACATGTGCACAGGGAAAGTCAGGAGGGTAGAAATGGGTCAATGCACTAAGCAGGGTGCTTCCCGCTCTAGCCTGTAAAACCCTATGGATGGCTTTTAAAAACCTGTGCACCTCCTCCTGGTGCGAGGTCCTAGCACCTGACTGAGGGTGTGCGTCCTTGTGTGATCGCATCAGAGGGGCCAGAAGGGGGAAGTCGTTCTTCTTCCTGCCTGGGAGAATTCTGTCCTGTATCTCACCCTCCGGGAGAATGCTCTAACCAAGCTGGGAGTGAAATTAAGATGGGCCACTCCCAGCCTTCCTGTTAAGGGTGTTCATCTTTGCAGGAGATAATGAGGAGTATGTTGGGCAGATGGAGTAAGTTTGACTGTAACCTCACAGTTATGACTGTCACCTGGAGGCAGGGAGAGAGCTGGGATCCGATGAAAAATTCTATTATATTTGTTTCCTGGAATTACACAATTTGCTCCTAAACTTAGAAGGGGAAATACTTCTCAGAAACTGCGAAGGGTGTTACGAAAACATAAACAGGGGAAGTGTAGCCAGTGTAGGATTTATTTGAAAGCTTAATATGTTTATGCTTGGTAGGGAGTTGGTAGAAAACTGATTTAGAATGAAATAGCTTTGGGTGTAGACCAGCCTAATTGGAAAATAGCGTAAATATAAATTAGTGAGCAGACGAGAAGGAAATAAAAAATCTGAACTGGCCCGTATTCTAGGCTCTCACTACTCTGTGCCACATTAATTCACATTTAGGATGAAATTACCTACTGGATAAATGTTGCCTAAGACTTTTACCAAAGACCTTAGGGAACACACACAAGCCGATTTGAATGCATAAATCAGGAAAATCAAAATACAGGATCAATTAAATGGACAAGTATCTTTGAGATGCATTATTCTTGCTTTTTTTTCCCCTGAGTTTCCAAATTTCATGGTCATTGTACTTCTTAGTATAATTGCACTCTATTGTTCCGTAGGGAGTTGGCATTGGTATTATCAGAAAATACATTGTGTCTGTAAATACTTGCCTGCTGCACTTGCATCTCTCCAGAGTACATGGAGGCAGAAATGATAGTATTTCCAATCCGAGCTTATTTGATAGTATTTGATCTTCTGACAATCAGTTCTAAGAAGTCATGGTAATTCGGTAGCTTGATCTATACCTTGGACAGGTTTCTCTAAAGAGTTTATTTATTTTCATTTCCAGGGGCCGCAGTGTCTAATAGCAATAGCAACAGCCCTGACTCAGAACAAATCAGTCAAAGCAATAAACCTGAATCGTCCTTTACTATACAGCCAAGAGGTACGTAAGCAGACTGCGGTGTCAGCTCAGTCAGAGAGAGAAGCGTGAGTCAGTACTGATGTATTTATGGACAGCTGAACTACACAGCTCTGGGTTTCCTTATGAAGTGAAGTAAATGGTTGCAGAAATATTCTTTTTCTGCGCCAGGTTCTGTGCAGTCACAGGCTGCCCCTGTTTAACTAGAAGGTTATTTTAAAAAAAATTTCTTTCTTGGTCCATAAGCATTCGTTGAAGAATGGGCTAATGGAGAGGGCTTGGTGGTGGAGAACCAAGTATTCCTG